GCAGGAGGCGGTTTCTGCAGCTACAGGGAGGCTAGAGCTATGGCCTTTCAGCAAGCATCCTGTTTTGCAGAAGTAATAATAATCATAGCCAGGACTTACTGAGTGTGTGCTGGGTGTCAGATGTGGATTATCTCTGCCTTTACAAGAATCCTGCTGGCAGGCATCATTCTCATATCCTAGGTGACCCTGAGTCTATAGAAGGTTAAGAGACTTGTCTAAGAGAACACTGCTAAGGAATGGACAAACCTGTGTCTTAGTCAAAGTTCCAAAGCCTTTTCCAGTGGCTCCCAAACCTGGCAGTGCCAGAGTCATCATGTTATCAGTTTGCTGTTACCTTCCAGACCTACTGTACAGATAGGTATACAGGAGATATATATATATACCTGACCGGTGCCAACACGGTGGAGTTCTGGCTTTGAAAAGCCTTTAACTCATCCTGGGTCCCAGGATAGAAGGGAGATAAGGAAAAACAAGGTTTAGGAGGACAACCAAGTATTTTTGAAGCCTGTGGCACTTACCCATCTACCCCAGCAATGGGGAATTTACAGGTGCTTTTAGTTGAGCTATTGAGAGCTTCAAAGAAACCTATAGACATGGAAAAGCGCCCCCAGCCAGGTGGCTCCCCATCCTCTGCCCGGCACCAGGCCTGTGGCACTGGCCAGCCTCTGGGAGAGCCCTACTTTGAGGCTGGATGTTTCAGTCAGGGTAAACTGAATGCCTCAGGCTGGGGAGCAGATTCTCATCCACCTCTGTATCCCCTCCCTGGAGCTTCTCTTCCTCATCTGTGAAATGGGGCTGGGCACCCCTGCACAGGCAGGGAGACAGGGTGTGTGCAGAGGTGCTTCGTACAGTGCCCTAAGAGTTAAAAAACAATCCTAATTCAATAGCCCTGTGCCTTATTTCCCTTTAGCATGGGAAATGAGGGTAATTATTGCCTACTCCTTTATTGCCCCAAAGAGGACTGTAAACCATATGCATTGTGGGATGGGATCCGAGAGGGGCTTTGCGGTCCTCAGCAGTGAGCCGGGGTAAGTGGAGAGACGCTGCGGGGTTTCAGGATGATGGGTTCCTGTGCTGAGGGGTTGGGGGTCCTTGGGAGGACCTTCCTTGGGGAGACTTCTGTCATTTACCTGCCCACTCTTGACCCCCATGTCCTTTAGCATTGCGGAGGGAAGAAGAGGGTGAAGGGAAGTTGCCCCGCCAGCCCAGGGGTTTCCCTGGGTTGCGGCTGGGGCAGATGCTCCGCGATTCATCTCCTGTGTGGAGTGGGATTATGGTGGCCCAGGCCCAGCCTGTCTCCCTGGCTCTATTGCTCTATACGAGGCCACAGCAAGCCATACCTCCTCGCTGTCCTCTGCGGCAGGAGTCCTGCAGGAAGCTGGCTTCCCCACAGGGCAATCCCGATTCCCAGCATAATTGTGGAGGGAAAGACTCTGTGATCAGCCTACATACACTTTCTTCTTGTTTTCTCACTAAGGGGATAATTAGCAGGAGGAAGGCAAACAAATCCCAAATCCCCTCACCTTGGTTAAATCACGGGGTGTGGGCAGAGCTGGAGAGCAGTGTAGATGTTTGCTCTGGGGTTCGGCTTTCCAGTGCAAATGGCAGAAGTGGGAATAGGCAAGATCCCTAATAGCACCCCATGTCTCCCCAGGGTCCCCTTTCGCTAGATGACAGGCACACCCTGTCATCTTCACCAGTCACAGTAGCTCTGTAATGCCCCTAGTTTTACCTGAGTTGATAAATGGTAAGAGGGTCGAAGGAATAAAAATAAGCTTTCTGCCTTGGAAGTCCATTGCAACCAAGAGGAGAGAAAACACAAAAATGTTTACAGTAGCACAAGCTGCTGTTAAGTAGTGGACCTCCATTTTGGTTTTTTTTTTTTTTGCAGTACGCGGGCCTCTCACTGTTGTGGCCTCTCCCGTTGCGGAGCACGGGCTCCGGACGTGCAGGCTCAGCGGCCATGGCTCACGGGCCCAGCCGTTCCGCGGCACGGGGGATCTTCCTGGAACAGGGCACGAACCCGTGTCCCCTGCATCGGCAGGCGGACTCTCAACCACTGCGCCACCAGGGAAGCCCCTGGGTTTCTTTTTTGCATAAGAAAGGTGTCGGTTTAAGTGTGGGATGAGAATGCTTAGGTGTATATGCAAACTGAGAAACTTGATGCTGGGTGAAGCACATAGCAGGTGTTTAATAATTGTCTGTTGAATGGATCCTTGCATGAAAGGAGTGGGATTCCAGGTGGTGAGAGTCATCCGCATCCCAGACATCTGTATCCCGTTTGGGTTTAAGAGTCCAGCATTTCTCCTAAGTGTGTCCCATGCAGCCGCCTAAGAAAAGCCAGGATGCTGGGGCCAACGAGTTAGGTCATGACCGGCCACCTTTGTTTTTTTAAAAAATATTTATTTATTTATTTTTGGGTGCATCAGGTCTTAGTTGCGGCACACAGGATCTTTCGTGGCTGTGTGCAGGCTCTTTGTTGTGGTGTACGGGCTTCTCTCTAGTTGTGGCACGAGGCCTCCAGAGCACGTGGGCTCTAGTTGTGGCGCATGGGCTCTGTAGTTAGCGGCATGCGGGCTCTCTAGTTGCGGCACATGGGCTCAGTAGTTGCAGGGCGCAGGCTTAGTTGCCCCGCAGCATCTTAGTTCCCTGACCAGGGATCGAACCCACGCCCCCTGCATTGGAAGGTGGATTCATAACCACTGGACCACCAGGGAAGTCCCCCTGCGACCTTTGCTGGAGATTCGTAAC